GCTGTGTGGCTTTGTTAATATTCTGTCCTAGAATGCGGTAAGATGTGCCCTTTTTTTTGAGCACGTGCCCTTTTAGTGGTCTCTGCACGGCCCTGGATCAGGGCCACAAGTTTCATTAAACACAAAGAACACGACATAGTAGGTCAAAATTATGTTACATTTCCCAAAATAAATTAGCTCAATAGGATTGCCAGACACATTGATGCTCATTTGTGACGGGCATTTGTTGTAGCATAGAATTATTTAATTTTCAAATTAAGGTTAATACTTTTTTTTTATCAACAAAGAAAAACTGATATAACTGATTTTATTGCAGCATCCATCCCACATGGTCAACGAACAGCTATCAAAGGCAACAAGTTTAGACCTGACTTGACAATCCCGTTTTTCTCTGTGGTGCTCAGTGGTCGTGACTCACCACTTTTTAAAAAAAAAAAAGACACAGAATGGTATCATTATGAAGGTAACTAGAGTGGAGTGCCGGGGCACCCCTGCTGGCACACTGTAACGCTGGTTACAACACGTTGCTGGTCAGCATGTGTCAGCAAAGTCTGAAGTGTGACAGTCAAAGCGGAATAAATTGTGACTAAACAAAGAAGCGGCCTGCAGTGTATCGAAGCACGCGTCGGACTGTTTGAAATTCCCCGAGTTAGTTACCAGATCAAGAAGAGGCACACACATCGACTAACACAGCGAAACGAGAGGCCCTATTTTTAAAACTGAGCTTATATTGAACAATCCAGTATCAACTTTCCAGAAGCAAGTAGGTGGGGATAGTTTTAAGAACGGAATTGTTGTGACCAGAGCAAATATCCTGTGAGGACTTTTAACGGCATCCACGTTCCACTTCAAATATTTAACTTTGACACAGTCGGTCCGTACATTGGACAGCTTCCTTCATCTTCATGGCTGATGAGAGCAGTGGAGATAAAATGTTACCCAGGCGCAGTGAAGCTCGATTAGGGTCTGGACACTTTCTGCTTATTCCGTTACTATAAGCAAACGCTAAAGCCTAGTTCTAACATCGTTTCATGCTTCATTGTCTTATAAATGAAAGGTGGATCTTCGCTGGTACATTTGAGACGCTCATTCTCGATACTTTAAAGGGGCCTAACAATGAACGGCAAATGGAAATGTAAAAATATTCTTACAATAACAATTAGGAAAACGTTTATCACTTTGAGTATTTATTCAGTGTCGTTTATGTAGTTGGTAAAAACAATATTTTACTTTTTAAATATGCCAGGAGCGTAAAACATAAAAATCAACAAAGTACGCAGTCGAGGCCACGATTGGCATGCAATTTGAGTTTCTTGCGTTGTTTGTTTTTTATGGTTACTTTATCAATTTTTAAAATTGATTTTACTGGTTCCTTTATTTTTGCATTATTATTCGACTAAACCGCAAACCGTGATCGTTGTTTTTAAAACCGCGTTCATCAAAGTGAATAAAGTCTTATAGGTTCAAAGTGTTGAGCTTTTCTATTTTAAATAATGTGTCAATTGCGGCGAGAAACCGCAATAAGCTGCTAACGTGAATAACTTTACATAATATTGGTGGAATTTTTCCCCCATTTCTCTTTTAAAATTACTGATTTTATATCAAAGTAAAATTCAATGCACGCTAAATAAATGCATTCTCTCTAAAGACGTCTACGCTCGGGAGCATCCTAAACGGTTTTGGTCTAGGCCTTATGCCAACCCCAAATCACTCGTGCGGGAACAGGAACGCTCTTACAAAGCATAAAACATACTGTTTTCAGCTTTTCAGACGTCTTTGCCCCCTTGGTTTCCTGCGAGCACCAGAGCGGTGATCTTCTTGGCCCACTGGGAATCCGTAGTGTTCTCCAGATGCTGCTTGACCACCACCCGCTGTTCCTCCGTCGCGGCCAGGTGCCAGGTTTCCCTTTTGGTCATTAACCCACTTGTGAGTCAGCACGCCATACAGCTCTGGAAAAAAGAGACCACTGCAAAACTATCAGTTCTCTGGTTTTACTCGTTTGAGTAAAATGAACATTGTTCTTTAATTCTATGAAGTACTGACAACGTATATTAATTAATTCAGTATTTATTTGCAGAAAATGAGAAATGGAAAAAAAACCGAAAAAGATGAAGTTCTTTCAGATCTCTAATGAAAAGAAAACAAGTTCATGTTCATTTTGAAACAACAATGCTAATGTTTTAACTCAGGAAGAGTTCAGAAATCAGTATTTGGTGGAACAACCGTGCTTTTTAATCACAGCTTTCATGCGTCTTGGCATGCTTTCCACCAGTCACTCACACTGCTTTTGGGTGACCTTATTTGGGTTGAAATTCAACTGAGCCTGGAATGGAACGGCTGTCATACATGTAGAGATGCTGATTTTTAGAAAACTGTGCAGTGGTTTCTCAATTTATTTTTTTTCCAGAGTTGTATAGAATGAGGGACCGCGGCGGCGGCGTGAGTCACGGTGAGCCTCCGGACCCGGTCACGCGAGTTGGGGGCAGCCCCTGCCTCGTGGAGCGCCTTGACCAGTGCGTTGCTTCACCCTTACCACCTGGACACAAAGTAAAAAATAAATAAATAAATAAAAAAAATGAATAGAAAGATATTAGATCACTCTTGCTGGAAAATAAAAAAGTTCGATAAGGCCCTAGGCCACGCGTGTTTATCTCATTACATCATTTCAATCTCTTTGTCGTAAAGTCGCAGAGTGTCTGCATTGCAAACAATATCATGACCTGTATTTCACTGCCAACAGTTGAAAGTACTTTCAAATCTGAAAATGAGTGTTAGCTAACGGTATGAGTATGTGAAAAATGTGGTTTATAGTTTCCTGCGAGCGATGTTTCCTTCTATATCATCCGGACGCGGCCCCTCTGGACCCAAAACCCCCTCCACGATCTCATGTGTATTCCTTAACAAGAAGCTACTAAAAAATAATCCTCAACAGTATCGTTTTGGACATAATCGTAGTTTGTTGGGTGATCTAGGAGGTGGCGCCTTGTTTTACAGCGCATTAGTCATTTATTTATGATTTTTAAAAATGTTTCAATGTAGTAAGAAAAATACAGTTAAAAAATGCTCTGTATTTTAAAATGGATAAATTCAGCTGCTTCCGTCTTAATGTATGTTTGCTTGTTTTTACAGAGATAACTTCCTGGTTCATTTAACTGAAATACTTTTTTTTGCTTTATGGCATGTATTTTTCTTATTAATCCTTTATTACATTTGACGAGCTCGTCTGCAAAATCACACCCTGTCTAAAAATAATTTCTTTGCATAGCTACGTCGATGAATCTGAAAAACATATTCAATTTAAGAGATGCATTTGCCAGTATATACATTCATTTGAATTCAGTAAACTGAAATGAACTGATTCAAAGACATCCATCTTTCTTCAAACCGGTATGAAAACAGATTTAATGCTGAACAAAAAGAGACATGTCCCTTACATAGCAGCAGAAAAGCAGGACGTAATGATTCAGGTTTTCATCAGGCCCCAAGTAGACACACACACGCACACAGACACACACACACACACACACACACACACACACACACACACACACACACACACGCACACATATAAACATAATAATATTATAAATATAATTATCATAATTAAAAATGAATCACACTGTTGTTTTTTTGGGGGTTTGCAAACACTTGAAAGGGTTTACTACTGTCACATAAACCACTTTTAAGACAATAACTATAGTGGAGAGACAACAGTTGTCCAAAACTTTCTTCTCAAACCAAGCCGCACGGAAAACATTCCCTTTGAGGATCCAAGAACTAAATTAGAAACCCATGTAAAACACTGTTTTAAAAAGTGGAACATATACGACTGAGAACCTTTCTTTTCATCTTTTTTTGGATGAAAGGAAAGACGTCATCAAGAACAGAGGATGTCCAGTTGCCTTCTACTTTAAGCATTTAGGATTTTCATGTCCTGAATGACAGAACACAAAGTCATTCAAATTGCTGCTTGCGTGATTCGAGCCAAATAACGCAACACAAAAATATTCACACAAGACTTTTGGGCTTCAAATGCCTACACTGTAGGTTTTTATAGGTTTTATGTCCAACTTGTAGACGCAATAACACCATACCATAACTCAAAACAAACAGATTTCGCCTCAAATGACCCTTGAGCCGCAGCACATGCATACATCCCTGCTCAATAAATTAGGAAATATTGTGACTCTACATTTATATAGCTAAATGTCAGACTATTAACAAGCGAAAGCAAAACAAACGAAACAAAAAAAAAACAAAAAAAAAGAGAGAGAGAGAGAGAGAGAGACCTAGCTACGCTGACAGAAAAAAAAACTGCACCGATCACCAGCCAACATGATGTCATTAACCGTCACTTCCCGCTCGTTTTCAAAACAATCATCACAATAGAGAGAGTTTGTTTCTTACTGTATTCGGGCGTCATCTTGTGAGATCTTCACTTAAGGACGACGGTATTGCCGAATCGTAGCGAGGTTTCCTTTCATTTCCAAAAATGACTCGTCCGGGTCTCAGATGATGCTTTCACATCGTCATCCGACTGAATAGCTATAATAATAACGCTCAGATCCCCGCTGAGGAACCCTCACAGATACATTTATATTTAAGATGAGCTGCTAAGAAGTGCGCCTCTGTCAGACGTTTAGATGGGTTTGAAATTGTCACCAAAATAGGCTCAGATGCCCTGATTGGACAGAGCAAATTTAAATAGGAGGAGTCATAACTGAAAACTATATAAAAAAAGAAAGAAAGAAAGAAACTGGGAAAAGAAACCATCTTGACGCTACGTGACTGTGTAGATTTCATGAAATGGAGGATCTAGTCCACAGAGCACAGGCCCCTCGCAGCATGCGCATACGAAGTTTCTTAAATAAGCTAAACATGTAATGCGGTGACATTGCAGAGCTTTTCTCCTTTCTTTTTCTGTTTTAGCGTCACCCTCTTGTGGGCATATATGGTATTACCCCCCCAAAATCTGTTTTATGTTATATTTATAAAACCTATGTATTAATAAAAAATAAAAAAAAACAACTTTCCACTTATTCTTCATGTATTACTTACCGAAGAGGGCAAATTTAGTTTTTCTTCTAAATCAAGGAAGTGGCCTGGTGCACCTTGAAATGACTGTATACTGTTGGAGTGTTCTTTATCTAATCAGTCTTGTGGCCTTCTCCTTTTATTTCAGTTTATTTTTGTTTTATTCACCATTAATTCAGCTAAATATATGAGAACAAAGTGACTTTAGATTCAATCAAAATAGACCAGAAACCATATGAAATGGGAAAAAAGTTATTAACTGATTAAGTCATGTTTTAGATTGTTCTTGAAAAAATCAGTCACAGCTGCACTCATGGCTGCACAGAGAACCCATTGATTTTTTTTACAGCAGACAGCCGCTCCCTCTCTTGCAGGTACTGCGTACCCCCCGCTAAATCTTTTAGGCCCCCTATTTTCACCCCTACTAATATCGGTGTGAAAATGGAGCCCAGCTAAAACCTTAATTCAAATGTCAACAGTCCTCTGAGGCACCTGTGAAAAATCAAGCCCCTCCTGCCTGTGTGCCTCTTTAACAGTCACCCATGCTTTTATCGTCTCAGGCATGGATTATTGCAAAGTGTTTTGACTGGAATTATCTGGGGTTTCCCACTCACACCTGCAGCTGATACAAAAGCTACTGCATATCACAGGCAAATGAGGATATCTTTCCTAACTTCTTCTTCAGCTGTGAATCAACTTCAAAATTATTTTAATTAAGCCGTTTTTTTAAGGGCATATCCCAACTTATTTGTTTGAGTTACTTCACCCTGACATGCCATTGCATGCTTATGTCTAGTGACCAAATACTTTCGTTTTGAAGGTCTCAAAAATATGTTATAAAGCCATGAGACTCTGGGTGCGTTCACACTGCAGCCTGAAGTGACTCAATTCCGATTTTTTGGCAATTCCGATGTTTTTTGCCGGGGCCGTTCACACTGCCAGTAAATGCGACCTGTATGCATTCTGCAGTGTAAACGGGCAAACGACCTGAAAGTGTCCCGCATGCGCAGTACGGGGCGCAATAGCGTCAGCGTTCTAAGTGTTCTGCCAACTGCCATAAAAAGAAGTGCTCAGTGTTTGCGGAAGTAAACATGGAGGCTAACGGTGGAGCTTAGCTTACATATTTGAAGTTGTTGTCCGGCCGGAGCAACATATTAACAACTTAATCCTCATATAATCCGTCATGGTTGTTGTTTTTCTTCCCACTTGCGCTTATCAGGACGCAGAATAGTGAGATTTGTTGAGAAACAGTGACGTTCAGTTCTGATGAAGGCGACCTGGACGTTAGGTCGCATTTGAATCGGATACGTATCGGATATGGGTCACATTCGAAAAAGAATCCGACCTGTGCTGTTCACACTGCCATGAAAAGATCGGATACAGATCGCATTAGGTCAAAAAAATCGGAATTGAGTCACTTCAGGCTGCAGGGTGAACGCTGACGCTATTGCGCCCTCTACTGCGCATGCGGGACACTTTCAGGTCGTTTGCCCGTTTACACTGCAGAACGTATACAGGTCGCATTTACTGGCAGTGTGAGCGGCCCCGGCAAAAAAAATCGGAATTGCCAAAAAATCGGAATTGAGTCACTTCAGGCTGCAGTGTGAACGCACCCTGTGTCTTCTTCTTCTTTTTACCCTTTTTATATATTTCTGCGTCGGTTAAATTTTCTGTGACTTCTCTGTGGAAACTTACATCTGCTTTTTATTCTATAGTATGGTATGGGTTGGTTTGGGTAAATCTAATCCAACAAATTCAACCTTCTACTGAAAACTGATTTTTATTATGTTTTGCTAATATTAAAATTTGCTTTGTGATTTGAAACAAGTGAGAAAAAAAAAAAAAAAAAGCAGATGGAATGTGTTTGTCTCTGACCTGTGCATACTGTTGATACTTTTCCAAACTGAAGTATACACTCTGACTTATGAGAATGTCACAAAGAGCAGGAAATTAAACCGGTCTAAAATTTACATGAACTGTTTCACTTCCCTTTTTTATGAGGCTTTGCAGATAAGGAAAGAAAAGGGGAGGATGAAGTCCGCGTCGGGCCGGGGAGCGGGTCAAATTACTGGGCCCCTCACGTGTATCACCTGCGCTGCTGGCAACTGTTGGGTTTGGTCCGCTTTTTTTGTTGTTTGATTTTTACCCAGGAAGCACATTGGCTAAACCGTGAGTGAAACAGTTACTGGGACTGACTACTCCAGTGGTTCCCAAACTTTTTCTTCTGCGCACCCCAGTGGTTTCCAAACATTTTCTGCGCCCCCCCTATGGATTACAACAAATGGCTGTCTGGTTGAAACGACGCGTGTGACGGGGGCATCGACTTTTTTGGGGGCAAAATGAATGTACGTAGCTGAAAATAGACACCATCATCGGTAGCCTGCAAGGTACTTGTTAAGCTTAAGGCTCTGTATTGATGTTAGCTAGTCATCTTTTAGCTAACATTACCTGCATCCAACAGCTTTACTCAATTCAGTCGGTTAGTTTGGAGGGAAAAACTGTGAAAAGTTCTTTGCGTTTTGCTGGTTTGCTGCCGTGATTCTAACACAAACCTACGTAGCTCCGCTCAGCAGCAGCAGGTCTCCTTCACAGGTGGAAACCCAGCGCGAGCGTCGTAGCGCTCACGTTGCATTTAAAGGCGGCTCGGAAAAACAGGTTACAACATGTTAACAACGGACTAAACTGTTTTAACTGCTGATAAAAGTGACAGAGGACACAAATATGGGAAGTGTTGAAGCCTCTACTGTATCAAATTGACATAGGAATAACAGAGAGTTGGCCATTCTAAGGTAAAAACCCAGCGCATACAGTGTTCATGTTTTTTTTGTTTTCATCCAGACGGCTTCCCGCGCCCCCCTTGCAATGACACGGCGCCCCCCCTAGGGGGCGCGCCCCATAGTTTGGGAACCTCTGGACTACTCTATAGTCCATTGAGTGACATCATCTTTAACATTACATAAACCTTTCTGAACAGGTGAGGGCGCACTTTCTGCTTGTATGATAAGACATTAAAACGACTTGAAACCATTCCTCCCTCCCGGGCACGGGCCGGGGGGGCACCCCAGCCCCCACCATAGCTCCGCGCCCGATCAGCTCAGAAAAAACAAGCATGCAAGCAACTTTATGTGTTAAAAGTTGCTTAAACTTATTGCTTATCCTGCTTTCACATGCGAGTTGAAATGTTATATTTTCATGACATAGATTATGTTAACTTACAGAGTTCAGCACATATTTTCTATACATATTCAGCCCTTTTTGTGGCCTCATTTCAAATGTGTTTAAATCCAGGATTGTCCAATCAGGATTAGACAATCCTGAGTGTTCAATCAGCATTTTTGTCCTGTATATTGCTCTTCATCATACTTTTGAAGAATTAAGGGCATTAAATACAGCTTTTTTTTGTTATACTAGAACAGGCTTGAGCTTTTACGACTTGTACAGCTCATACCACAGCTCATACCATTTGTCCTGCATTTCTTTGAGCCTACAGCAGGCAGCAGGGTCATAATTTTAGGGGTATTTCGAGCTTTATTTATAGGCGTTGGCTTTTACAAATGTTTAGTGAGTCATAGACATATTTATCTAATTAATTGTGGTCATGATTTAGTAAGGCAGGACAGAAGGCTATGAAAGCCAGCTTTTTCCACAATTCTTTTTTGCCTTAGGGTGAAATATAAAGGTCTCTTCTTTACTGTGTGAAAAAATACAATATTCACTGTAAGCATTAGTTTAATAGGTTTTATATGGTAAAAAGAAATTGAAATGTGTTATTTTTTTAAATTATGTTATCTATTTGTATCAACTTTTGGTCATTTGTATTGCCCATAACTTATACATTTTCACTCTTTAGTAATTTCTTTTACTTGAGTGAAACATGTTTAAGTATGTTCCTCTATTCATCCCAGGTTGGTGTGATTGAACAGCCAGGACCATATCATCAGTCGTATTAGTATTTTATATGAACACATATACTTATGTTTACATATGAAGGTTATTTAAGGAATGGTATTGAATAAACAGTTGTTTGGGAGGGGGAAAATCCGTGTATGGTTTATCTTTGGTTTGAGCAACTTAATTCGAATCATGGAAAAGACCCGAAATTCCCATGATTTATTTCAAGTAGTCGCTCGAACGTTTTACGACAGTCGACATAACTTTACGTCAGCGGTAAAGCAATGGGCTAGCTGACAATAATGATTTGAGATAACCGGGCACAGTAACGTAACTTTACTGAACTTTGTCTGTTTTGAGGCTGTTAACTCCACGTTCACTTTAATATCTACAAATAACTAACATCACCCTGACAGCCGTCTCTAAGTATCCATTTTTATCTGTACTCAGCGTCTGTCTGTGAGCCAGTGGAGAAGTATTGCTTTTAGCCAGTCATTGCTATGGCCTCCGACAGCGGCGAAAGCAACATGGATCGAGAAATGATCCTGGCCGACTTTCAGGTGGGTCCCTGTTTGTTTGTTTGTCTGTGGCATTGTTTACAGCTGGAAGCGTTTTGTCTTCCGTGTGCTAAAATAAATTAAATGTCTGGCATCCGAAACAGCAACCCTGCTCGTCGGAAGCAGCAAGGATCTCCGAGTTAGCACACAGAGCTAACTTGCTGACAGCTCGGAAACGGACTCTGAACACACTTGCTAACCAAAAACTCGGTGTTTACATTGCAGTCTACCGAAACTGTCGGGCCAAGAATGGGACAATACTGGTATTCAGGACCAGTTTAGCTGAAAATGGAGCTGCTGCACTCAATAAAACTATCTACTTGTTTACATATCGTCCCCTGTTGTTTCTGCAGTTTAAAACTTGACGCTAAACGTCGACACATTCAGGATTTCTATCTACAATCAACTCCA